TTCCTGCTGTAAAACTAGAGGTAGCTGATTGATAGGAAAGGCATTCAGAACTTCTGGCAGTTCATAAATTCTTCCTTGCACCTGCACGAAGAATTGTAGTTCGGATGCTTCCATGAAGCTAAATTTGTGCCAAAAATTTACGCTGGTATGGCAACAGCCTGACACCGGGGATCGCGGTTGCGAGGAGGGTTTCGCTGTGGCCAAACCCCTCTGCTTTAGAACTTCAGGTTGTGTTTTCTTACCAGAGCTTAAAACCAAGAATGTTAGTGAAGTATTTTGGAGAAGGCAAATAAAGTTCTGAGCATGTATTTAAATTAACCTGGGATTTAAGTATAACTTGAAGTGTGGTGGTACGATGCACAGCAATCTGACCGCTAACGGCTAAAAATTGAGTCTCTTATAGAAAAGGGTTGATCTGTTTGACATACTGAGGCATCCTACAATGTGTAGTTATATTTATCTATCAAAAAAATCAAATCTGCATCAATGTATTTTATAATGTAAGCTTTTCTATACTGTCTATATGGGAACCTTACAGATACTACAAAACAATTAAGCAAAATGGTTTCCTGCATGCCAGAGAATTATTTAGCATCAAAAAGGACAAAAATAGAACTTTGAGGACCCTGCGTAGGTGCAAAATTATTTCCTTTGTCTGACTTTGTGAGATAAGTGGGTTTTTGGTTTGCTCCCCCCAGTATTTTCAAAATCTGGAGCTAAGGAATCTGATGATGTTATTGGAGTTCAGTTAAATTCAGCAAACAATATATAGGATAGTGTTGCTCATACTGCTGCTTCTGCTTCATTTAAACACTGTTGGGACAACGTGAAGCATCTGTTTACGAGGATAGAGGCTGTCATAAAGGCTACAATGCCTAGCATAGTTCAGTGACTAGCAAACACTTCCTAAAAGTCTATCGAAACCTTACAGCCCTCTCTTGTTACTAGGTGGTGCCACTTTGGTTGGGTGTCAGGTGGCATACAGCAACATTGTTTTGACTGAACAAAATGTATTTTTCTGTCTTGGTGAAATACTGAAGTTGGAGCAAGTTTTATTTAAAAGAGTACTGACTTTCTTCTGAATAGTAGTATGAAATTCATTATCCATAATTTCCTTGATGTTAAGGGTCATGAGTGGGTTGTGGAGGCTGGTGTTTTTCCAAAGATCCCTACTTCCCTTTCTATACAACAAGGAAAAATACTGCTTGGGCTCTCAGAGCTACTCTCAGTTTGGTTATATTTGACTGACATTAAGGCATTACGATTGCAAAGACTGTATAAAAAAGCCAACCTAATCCGAAACAACCCGTTTGCTTCAGGCTCTGTATTTGCATGCAGGTGGAACTTGCCCTCACCTCGAGCATCACTAAACGAGATTGTCGCATTCTGAATTCAGCAAGATGTACCGAATCATATCCCAAACCAACTGACCCCTTGGGAGCGAGGTCCTTAAAGATTTTGAAATGCTTACCTCTTGGAACTGTATTAAGATTATTTCTTTCAACTGACAGTACTTTCAAAGCAGGCAGGAGACGACAGCATTTTCCATACTTTTTAGAGCCATGCGCAGGTGTAGGTATGTCCAGCGTGAGGGTGTGGATGGCGTTATCATTGAGGTTCAGAGTTTCTAAAACGGGTAGATTTCTAAAAGTAGCTAAGGAGAGTTCAGAAATCAGGTTGTTGCTAAGATTCAGGTGTTTTAGCATCCATTCTTCGTTTCTTCCGTCAAAAGTTTTAATATTATTGCCACTAAAATCAGCTGTTGTTGCTGTTTGTGATACATCTTCTGGAACAGCAGATATTCCGGTAAAAGAACAATTCAGTGAGAACTCCCCATCCCACCGGCAGTCTGAACGGTGACGTGTATCAAGAAGAATCCGCTGTGACTTGGTTCCCACTGATCCAGGAAGATTAAAGTAAAGGACCACAGCTATGACACTCAAGTGAAGGTTATCCATAGTATCTATATGTAAAACGTAAAATTATGGTAAGTGCAGCATAACAGGAGTTAAATAGAAAACGGAAATACTTTGACGTTAAAAAAAAATCAACACCAAATAGCCAAACGTTGCCAATGTTTTGCCTTAAACATACAGTTTTGGACTCTTAGGCATGTTTCAAAAAGAACATTCATAAACTGGTAACTTTCCCCCTCCCTCCACCTCTCCCAAAAGACAATACGAACCTTTTTGTTCTTTTCCGGCCCTTCGGTCGAGAAACACAGCTTCTCAGGAACTCGTGAACTAACAACAGTGGGGACTTTTGAACTCTGCTTCAGGTATTGTACACAATTACCACTGAGCAAAGTCTACCAGATACAATCCATGACGAATAGTTGTGGAATGATTTTCATACTTAGTTAATAAAATGCTAGTTTCCCTTTCAATAACGCAACAATGTATTTTTAATGAAAAACTATATTCTTATACAAATAACACTTCTGAGCCACAGCTGCATCTTAGAATTTATTGTTTCATTTCAAAACGGAAGATTAGAAATTCAATTGTCTTTCACCTATTGAAACAACCACCAGCTTTACATATGCTGAGAACTCTTCACATGTAAGTTGTTTCAATGTACCCACTACAGTATTTTCATTTCAAAACGGAAGATTAGAAATTCAATTGTCTTTCACCTATTGAAACAACCACCAGCTTTACATATGCTGAGAACATGTAAGTTGTTTCAATGTACCCAGTACAGTATTTTACACAGAGGCATGTAGAATGTACTTTAAAAATGCACAGAATCTTAAGCGCATCTGTGGGATTGAAATAAATAATGTGCCACACAATGTTTTAAATACATACAGAAAAATGTACCTTAGGCAGTTAGAAGATAAAACAACAAATAAATGCACAACACAAGGCATGTGTGGTGCCAACATTTCTCAAACTGTGTAGTGAAGGCAACAAAATGTATTAACAATACAAAAATAGTGGCTAACAAATTGAGAATTTATTTCATTTGGTATTTGTATGATCAGTTTTGCTACGTTCTGATGAAAAAGCCACACCTCAAAACAAATTCTCCAGACCATGATTTAAGAGTACCTTTGTGACAAATCTTTCAGCTATGTTGCATACAGTATTTTAAAAAGAACTCTTAATAATTACAAGAGTCCAGTACTAGCGCGTAGGCATGTCAGTATTAACCAGAGAAGAGCTTTAATATGCTCTTCATGTCTAATCTACTTGACTGAGGCAGTATTCGTCATTTTCAAGATCTATTTCAGCTTTGGGGATACTGCTGCTTATATTTTTTTGTGTGTGTGTGTGTGTATTTATGTATATAAAAATAAAGTGACAAACTTCCATTAGCATGAGAGTGAAAATTCTAAAAATGTTACAGTTTAATTCCTCCTCTTAATTGTAACATGTTAATTGAGGCACTACTTAGCAGCAAAGATGTGTGCATGTTTTCAACAAAATGTGTGTTGAAGTGGTTAATAAATATTAACTCTAGTAAAACTATGAAGTTCATGAAGGTAGAATGCAAAATGTTAGTACTTGCCCATAATCTTTAATGTGAGCAATTCAATGGCTTTTGCTACTTTTTATCCTGTTTATTCCGTTTTTGTTAGAACAGCTCCACTGCTGTCTGCCCCCCAAAATCCCAACAACTAGAGAGCCTCGAAGTCTGGCTCTGCCTTTGAGTAACGAGGGAAACGTGACCCCTCTGACCTCCCGTGTGGCGTAATACCTGACCTAACAATCCCCCTCTAGAAATCACTTCCACCCATACACACCCTGCATGAGGACTTACTGACTTGTAGTAAATACAGCAGTGGGGACCTTAGGTAGGAAGTTCTTGTTGCAGCAGGAGCTGATTCGTATTTTGTGGAAGTTCTATGTACTCTGAGAGCTATAAAACAAGGGTAGATAGTTTATCTTCCTTTAACAAATGACCAATTCTGAAGTTAACGTGTAACATTTGCACAACTTTTAGGAAGAGAAGTGTGTGCTTATCTAGACAAACTTGTCAAAAAGGTACTTGCAAAGTCACCTTTGTGGCCTCCATTATTAAGGTTACTTGATGCTACTGCAGAACAGAACTATTTTAAACTGAAGAAATACATGGGGCAGGGAAAGGAGGAATCTTATAATGAGCTGGTCTATTTTTAATACAGAACACCTTACCTCTGCAAAAGCAGTTACAAGGGTATAATAGTTTCTAAGGCCCCACTTCACCACAGACACAGTTTCACTGCTGACAAATTCAGATACACACATATTTACTCTGCTGTCATAGGATCCAATACCATCACATTTAGAATTATAGACCAGCAGTTTAACTTTAGAATTTAATTCTGAGTCTCTCAGAAATGCATCAGTACTGACATTTATGACAAAAAAGAGATCTGATCTCAGACACTGCTGCAACAGTCATGCTTTAGATTATTACCTGTTGAATAATGGATTCATACACCATTCACATTAAAGCACCCAGGAAAACACTTTTTTTTGGGTAGTAAGCAAGTTATAAGTACATCTTTAAAAACACACTTCTAATATAAACATGTTTTATAAATACTTTACATAAATTAAGCAACTGTAGAATGCCTAAACTGCACAGATAGAAAGGGAGCTCAAGCAACACTTCAATAATTGCAAGACTCTTTCAAAACTGAAGTTACATTTCCAAACTCAATACTGCTTTGCAAATATTATTTATGCTAGTGTGTTTTTTTTTAACTACATGAGAATATATGGCAGAAATAATGCAGTATTTTAAACTGAATCTGTCATTACCCGTCTCTTAGTACACATATGGTAAACCACGCAATTTTGGGGGAAATCATTCTATCAGCCTTTGGCAAGAAATGAAGAGAGGACAAAATTCTGCCACTTCAGCCATCCTAGGCAAATGCGCTTCCAACAACAAATCGACATTCCTGTTGAAGTACTTCAGATCACAGCTGTGTTCTCAGCAGCCCTCAAGGTCTTGGGATGTAGGACAAAAACCTCTTCTAAAGGCAACTGAAGGCAGTCAGGATTGTTGCTAGGATCATGTTCTTTAAATATATTCTACTGATCCCAATTCAGGAAGGTACTTCAGTATGCATGTAGACTGAAAGCTGACTAAATCAGTGCTGCTATTACGGCTAACAGGATGATGACATAATACTGCTGAATGTAACGCCCTTTCCTTAAAAATATTATGTAATAAATGTTAGTATAAACTGCTGTAAAAACAAAAATCCTGGAAGGCATGCAATTACTTCATACAAATATATGTAAACACAAAAGAGAACTCTGCTGGTAGTGGTTTGTGTTTTAGTGCGTGGCTCCGCACGGATTGACAGAAGTCTGACAACCCATGTTATAACCTGTCACCTGAACCTTGAACAGAGTCCCATCCGCACACATGCAGAGCTTGAAACGCAGCCAGTTGCCATTATTAAATTGTTCCCCGTAAGAAGAACTTGGCAGTCGCGATGGGCTGACCATCACAGTTCCATTCAGAATGATGCTGTTTTCCTATTAAGAGGGAGAAAAAAAAGTACAACTTCTGATTTAAACAAGGCAGGTTGGTTTTTGAAAAGGGCAAGCTGGTTTAATGAATAAATGACATCTTTAGGATGGTTGTAGAAATCAACAGAATAAAAAAAGTACATATGACAAGGTTTCATTTTTTAATTAAATTTAGGAATAATGCCCATGAATTTCTCAATTATAGTCAGCAATGTACTTTGCTATTCCAGTGGTAGATCGATATTGAGGAAGACAGCAGTAGTGTGGCTTTTCACTTTACGGACCTATTAGCAAATGCAGTAAGTCTAAAAATATGGACGTGAAATAGGAATCAGTGTTTGAATTCATACATGAAATTCATTCACACATGAAATAAAAGTGCATATATCTCTATTTTTTTACCTTCCTTTAACCGTTTCCATCATTCCATATGCCCTGCAATCTTAACAAACTCCAAAAATCTTAAATGAATGCTGGCGTGTCTTACTGCGGCAGCACAGAAGGTAGTGCTCGTAACTGTACACTCTGCTCCTCTGTCAAAGGTTGCTGACCCCAGTAAAGCCTCCAGAAGAGAAGATGAATTCCCTTTGGTATTTGTTTCAGTGCAGAGGCCGATAGCTTAGCTTTAACTGCATTGTGGGTTTTTAGCGTCTTAACAGTAGTAAATCATTGTTACCTGAAAACTATCGAACAACTAATGAACAGCAAAGTAATAAACCACCTTTTAAAATCCTACTAAATACACTGACTGCAACTAACCTTTTATGCATGACTACTTTATATAAAATGTGAAACCACATAAAGCTACATCAGTTTATTATCAGCCTGAATTTGAAACTAAGCTGTTCAAAAAATGCTGATTTGAAATACTTACTGCTTTAAGTTCCATGTTACCCCCCATTCGAAACTCAATGGTCTTGCCTGTGATGAAAACACCTTCATTTCCACGGACAATAGCACGGCCATCGACCTTTATGTTTAGATCACTGGTTGCATTGCTGGTAATCTAAGAACATAAACAAAAAAAGTCTAATACAGATCAACGAAAATGTGTCACTTGGATTTGTCTGAGTAACTTTAATTACCTTAAAAATATTGCCACACAATTTAAGAAAAAATTTCAATGTACTTGTTGCCCTTCTGCCATTATGCCTACGAAGCTTCTGTCCATTTGTTATTTTCCACATTCACATTTAAAAAACAAGGGTTACTTCATTTTGGAAGGTAAGTAAAATAGTTCATTTTTGTGATAAAAATAATGATTTGTACGACAATTTTACGGGATACACTGTTAACACTCGTAGCAAATATAGGCTTCCTGTTAGGACTGATTATGCAAACTTACTCCTCTGTTTTCATTTAATCTGTTCCTTCTACGTATTTATAGGTTTGGGTTTTTTTTTTCTGGAACATCTAATTGTTAGCCTTGCAGAGGACACATGAAGAGTCCTTAACATGATTTCTCAGTGCTTCCTAAGGCACACTCAACCCTCTATAAAACCACTGATACTACTCTACTAATGTTCTACAAAAGAACTATGCACTCTATCTGTAAACCCTTTATTATGAGTGATGATATGCAAGAAACAAGTTTTAGTATGACATTACGGTCAACATTTTAAATGTACACATACTGACATTTAGGTTTTTTAGTTTTCTGATAAATAAAGCATATTTAACATAGAAACCAAACTAAGAACTTGTTTAACCTAGAAGCCATGAACTGACACAACTCCTATAACGCTGTGATTGTTCTCTATGCTTTTACTCAGACTTCTGAAATTCTGATTGTATTAACATTTACCTCCAATAGAAGGAAAATGATACATCAAGATCTGGTAATTATTTTTGTAAGATCTTAGTAAAAACAGAGAAGTTTTTCAGAGAAATTTTATTTCTGAAACAGTTATCCATGCACAAATGGATAAATGCTTAATAAAAAGACACACAGGCCTAGTTGGCATGGTATTCCTGATACTACACTCATTTAATGATGTCAATTTTCATTTCTGTTCTAATTTTTAGGGTGATTTACATTTTCAGAGCTGCATTTTTAGCTACATTTAGTCAAATTTCTAAATATGCTTCAAAGATCGAATTAGTAAACTTTTTTCCTTATTCTAAACTAAGGTGATTCTGTAATGAGCTTTTACAAGAAGCAAGAGGTAGTTAGAAGAGACATACCCTCTCTGTAGAGGCCTTTTGTACATTCAAGATTTTAACTCCATTTGGCAGATGAAACTCATGAGTTTCATAGTCTGTGCTGAACAAGGTATTTTGTGTCCGTGGGTCAACAAACTCCATGCCAATATCACTGGTAATAGAAGTTTTGTCTTTTTCCACACTAAGCTTGGTTGTTCCTTGCTGAAATACAATCTTCAGAAACAAAGTCATGAAGTTAATGATGTTTCAAATACAGTGTTTATTAATAATGTGAGTGTAATTCCACAGCGTTGCTCACAAACTTTCAATTCACGGTGTAACTTACAGGCTGATTATTTCCAGTGATCACCAAATCTTCATTACGTCTGCCTCCTACAGTGCTTTTATACAACGGATGTATAACTCCCATGTCAGAAACTTGCTTAAACCGCAACAAGCCACTCTCATGGAACTCCATACTGTCACAACCATTGGGACCGATTCGAATCACTGCCCAGATAACTAGCGTAATCTGAAAGAAAAACACACATTTTCAAAGATTACTTTGATCGTTTGAATCTTCCCACAACCAAGTACTGTATTAACTAGATGTTTTATTTGAAATAATTATTAGCGCTAGGTTCCTTGCTGGGACCATGATAACTGAAATAATCATGACTGAACTTATAAGATTCTTCCATCTAATCTTGCTCAGAGTACAAAAGAACAAAAAAAAAAAAAGGAGAAAAAAGCGAGAAATCTCCTCCACTACATTTTAACTCCTTCTCAGCCATACTGGAATAAGTTTTATTTCTCTAATAAACCATCAAAATGAAATACGTCCAAATGTTGCTTACAGCCTAAGTATTATACTCACAATCAGATTGATGACAGCCAAAATAAAAAGAAGAACAATCACACAAATGGCCAAGTTGCCTTTCCTGCCACGTAACCCTGTCTTATGGAGCCGGTCTTCATCAATTGGAATGTATCCCGCTTTAAAGTTACTGTTGTGCTCCTTATTAATGTTCCTGCGTTCCACAGCCTTCTCTCGCATAGACTTCTTCACCGGGCCATTAGAACTTTGCTACAATACAAAGCATGGATTAGCTGTTATAAGGCATGTAAATCCACCAAAATGACAAAACATGTATGTATGCAAAAAATATAAATTTGAATTGACTAGTGGAATATATTAGATATTATGTTCAATATATATTTCAGTCTGGCACTCTGTACTTAGAATACACATATACAACCAGCGTAATTTCTGCTAATGCAATGACTGAAATTAAAATCCAGATATTTTCAGGCAATATATGTTTTTATATCTCATTTTTATCATGGCAGATAGGAATTATTAATGACATTGTTGCAGTAAAAAAAAACCAGCTGTAAAGAACTTTATCAAGTTTTTACCTCTTGGGGATGATACAGGACATAACCTTGCAGGTCATTTACCAGTACACAAGATTTTAGTTCCCTCCATGCTAATGCGGGATAGACTCTCAATGAGTCTATCGAAAAGGAGTGTGGTGGATAGAGTTTTTAGGTTAGTTTGATAGCAAAGGGTTTGCATTCAATTTCTATTGCTTGCATGCAGCATTAAGAAAAATACTGTGAGGCTTCAAACCTGGCATGGGGAACCTGGCCAGCCTAGCTTTACCTGTATCATTTGAAGTTACTAGATTGCAAGGGATATCCCATCAATGTAACAAATTAACAGGTAGAGGAAACTCTTGTAGATATTAATAGAGAAAATAAACCTTTGACGTATTTTTGTAACTTTGTTCCTTGAATGGAACAGGTTGCTATTTCAGGGTTCAGTTCTTCAAAGAAGGGGCTTGATCTTTTTGACGGGATTAAGTCTGTTCATCTGAAATGAATCCTGAAGCTGCACCTTAAGCTTACTGCACTTGTACGTGTCTATACTGATGTAATGGGTAAAAATGTCTTGTTTTCTTCTGTTGCCAAAGAACAAGGAAATGGTGTTGAGGAAGGTGCTTGACCTGAACCAGTTCACGGAGGCTTCCTTGATGATGTTCTGGAAGCCACTCTAACCCTGCACAAACTCAGAACTGGCTAGGCAGGGAAACGGAGAGAAGAGGTCTGTGCACAAACTCAGAACTGGCTAGGCAGGGAAACGGAGAGAAGAGGTCTGTGCTCTGGGGAAAAGGAAACAGAACTATCTTGTACAACGGGACAGTCGGTATCTTGTCCTGAGGATAGTGTGCTCTCGAAAGGACGTGACGCTAAGATAAAACTCCGATGTAGTTTTTTCACCTGATAAGGCAGCACAACAGAAGACAGCACCAGGACTGGGAGAACACGGCTGAAATGGTGATTGCTGGAACAAGCGCTGGAGCATCCATTCGGAAGTAGGCAGTGCTTCCTCCAGCACCCGAGACGAGGCTGGCACCGGACCCCTCCGGAATCTGGGGCTTCCTACCCACTGCTGCCACCGGCGCACAGGCACCGACACAGGCTCGCTCTGATTAAAAGCCCCGTGGAGGGGCAGGAGCTCCCGCAAGACGAGCCCTCGGCCCGCTGTCTTTTCCCCTCGGCTGGGTGACAGTGACACCCCTGCAGACAAATTTAGCTTTCACTCCCCTGCGAGACCTCGGATGCGGAGCCCGAATCTGAGCTTCAGTCTTATTTATACACTGCCGCTGGGCTACCACGCTCGGGCCGGCCTAACACGGCGACTGACGGCGCAGTCCTATATTTTTCGCGCCGCCCAGCTGCTTCCCGCGTCACCGATTAGCGGCAAGCGCCTATTGACGCAAGGCAGCGACATTCCCCTGCAGAAACGCCAGAACACTTTTATTTCGAAAACAGAAGGCGGTTTTCTTTGCCAGAGATTCTGCGTCTGCGG